AGAAGTCTATAAGGCTTAAGAAAATACAAATGTTTTGGAGACAACAGAAAAAAGGAGAAATAAAGATGTTCCTAAAAACATGCATTTCTTACTATTTTATAGTCATAACAGTGAAAGACAAATATTTTAAAATCCTACAGACCCTCCTACTACTCTACCTGCACACTGGGGTTTATGCTCAGCAGGCAGTGATACAGCACAAATTACCACAGCAATGTAAACACTGACAATGAGGTAAATGTAAAGTTACCTGGCTAAGCAAGAGATTATGCTTTGTAGTAAAGTACATGTTAATTGGCTTGGAGTGTAAACAAACATGAGAAGCCATTAAAGGTAGATAAAAGAAGAAACGTTAAAGGACGGTTTTAATTAATTAATCGAATTGAACTTGTTGTAAGATGGCTGAATGCCAAACTTAAGAAACCAACACAGACTTACGTGTACACTAACACAAGGAAGCTCATCAATATTGTACACCACCATAGCAACTACAAGAGAGTCCATAACAACCTGTGTGTTGATGCGAGAGCGATAGAGAAACCCGTCGCTGTCATACAGCTTCTCAAGTAAACAGTTTGGCACATTTCAGAAAGTGTCAGCTTTTTGGTTTAACTAAAGGCCGTGAACAGTGAAAAGTGTGTGTGTGAGAACGTAGCCGCTGCACGGCAGTCGAATCATTTCAACCATTTGCATAGTTGAGGCGGTGTAATCAGCCTGTTCCTGTGAGACCCCGGCTGAGCTCTGCCCTGCCTTCCCCATCGCTGCAGCGCTGCAATCAAACATAATTAGAGGTCTGAATGTTTCTTTCCTCCATCTTTAGGAGCGCTTTCAAGTGAAGAATCCACCATCTGCTTACTTGGAGAAGCTGAAAAGCTTTGTGGATCATGGAGGAGTCAGTCGAAAGGTACATTGGAGCAAACTCAAATCAAACATTTTAATTTCAAGCTTCTGTTTGTTTTCGAAAAGTAAACATGAACTTTTTGAAAAAGCCTCATTGATTTTAGAGCTTTTGATAAAATTCTTGAGCTTTTTGAGGCAGGAAATAGAACAGCACCACAAATATTTTACTGTAAGAAATATTTGTGGGTTGAAGTTGGCCCTGTCTGTGCAGGCAGAGTTACTTTGTGTGCTGTGATTACTGTTCTGTAGTTATTAAAAATATTTAGGACACCCCTGTTCCTGACTGCAAATATATCCAGCATTCCTTTATCATGTTATGTAAAGCCAAAACCTGGATAAGCCAGGGTTCATAGACTATAGAGGCTTGGCTATATGTTTGGAAAAACTGAAATGTTTCTATTTAATTCTTTAAAAATAATAAAAGAAAACCTCCAAACTGCTCTGGTTAGTCAGTAGCTATGCAGTGACACACCTCCAGCTAAGCCTTCTGGCAATATGCAGTCTTTTTTCATCACCTGTAATCTAAAAGTATTTCAAATATTGGTATTTCAGCTGTTTCATCCAACAAACTAAGTGCAAACTAAATCCAGTCCTGAGCTTTGTGCATTCAGCTCTCCATGCAACTATAAGACCACCTGATAG